CCATGTAGTTTTGCATCTCCAGAGCTCGGTGCTCTTCCTTCCTACTGATGTATTTTCTCTCCAGTTGGTCCTGAGCCTCCATCATGCTCCTCAACATCTGACAATGGACACGATTTATATTTTATTCATCACCATATTCTGTACATCACATATCCAGAAAACTTTAAAGGAACAATACTAACCATTTGTTGTTCTGCCGTGCTCATTGACATTTTGCTCACACTCAATTTGAATTCTTCCACCTAAATAGAAGAATGTTGATAAATGGTTGAGTGCATTTTATGGCAACTTAGTAATATCCTGACTCATCTTCAGACTTACATTCTGCATGAACTGGCTGATGATGTCTGTCAGCTCTGCAGTCATTATTTCCCCATCACTGGGACCCTCGTCAGGCTGGCTGGGGGAAGCGGCGGTCACCACTGTGGTGTTGCTCTGGGGGGTTGTTTCTCCTTTCTCACCTAAATGTTCTTAATTCAAAGCAAGGCTAGATTGAAACACACTGAATAATAATAATAATAATAATAATAATAGTAATACATTTGATTGATATAGTGCCTTTCATGAAACCCAAGGACGCTTGGCAAAACAGCATATTAATATATACTGTACATTTTGCACTCACAGGTTATTGTTTAAGCATTGCTGTCAATGTCAACTTTTTATGTTGTCAGATGTTTTTTTTTTGTTTTTTTTAGGAAGAGCAACAGAAGCACTGGGTCGAAAACAATGTTCCCCTCTGGGACAATACATATAAGCCTACACCTTCCTTTATAACATTTAATCTTTAGATTACAGATAAGGGGACTCACTTTTTTTATAAATGTTTTATTTTGTATTTACCTCATCAGTGTAAATGATGGAGAACATAAGCTAATATTTAATCAGTGTGCTCGAATTAGTTAATTTTGGTAAACTATAAAAAATAAATACAAATTAAACATGAATCATACAGCTACGAGTTGTGATTTAAAAATGTGACATAGATATATTTCAGTTAGGTGTTAAGTTGTTGAGTTAACAGCCATTGTTTTCCACTTTATTGAAGTGCTCCATCAGCAAAGTAAAGAGGTCTGTGCAACTAGAAAAGTGTCATCTGACCTCATTTATCACTATGGAAACCAGCTGCACGCTTCACTGCATAATGCTGTCCTGTCATAATATCAGATGTCGAAACTGAGACGTACCTGACGTGGGAAGGCGAGGAGGCGAAGATCCAACATGGCGTCCCTCAACTAAGTTTCCTTGATGATCATCTTCACACTCTAAATAAAGCATCACCTCTGAGGAGGGCTGAACCTGTTAAAGAGATCCATAAACGTAAAGTTACTGAAACTGTAAATGATTTCTTGCACATACATGATATGGGTCAGTCAAAAATGCACCAACTTTTTACTTACATTGGTTCCTATTCTCATTTGATCTATAAGGTTCTCTGCTTCAGCATACTTGGTAAGTAGTTTGTCATATTCAGCCTAAAGACATATGGAAATATTCAAATGTTAATCCCAAGGAATATGAACAGAATTATTTGTGTGCACATTTTTGAGAGAATACAAGCAAACTTCACCAAAGGCAGACTACATCCTGAATGTTTCTACCTGCAGGTGATGCACCAGTGCTGGAGCAGTCTGTTTGTCCTCGTCTTTGAAGACATAGGGCTTCTCAGATGGCTGGATTGAATCTTCCATGACTCTGTTGATCAAATCTAACATCCCTGGAGAGGATTGGGCTCTGTGCATGGTGCTGGGACTCTGAGGAACAGGTTTGACAGGTCCACTCGGAGCTTTGGGGATTTTTACCTTTGAGGCTACCTTGGAGAAGTCAGGGAGTGGGTAATGGACCTTGCCTTGGCCATACTTGATGTCGCTGAAGGACCTGGTGCGCACAAGTGGGCCTCTCTGAACCAGATCATCCTCTACCTTTTCCTGATTCTCTAGATCTACATCACTTGTATCCCCACTGCCCTGTTCTGAGTTTATACTTGGAGAGCAAGATATTATACTGTCAGAAGCAGCAGAGGGGACATTATCAATTTCACTTTCTGCTTTTTCCTCTAAACTTGAATTTTTTGATGCAGTCTTCTCATTCCTCATGTCCGAACAGAAGCTCTGATTGGTCTTGGAACTACAAGCAGGGCTCTCTGAGTGGTTACTCTTAATTACTGTGCTGTTATGTGTTGGACGCCAGCTAAACAAAGTGTCTTCCACGCTCTCCAGCAGAGACACCTCTGGCAGGGTCTCCGCCTCGATCAGCCTACCTGACCGCAATAACTCCTCCTGGGAGAAATGTTGCAGCAACAGCTCGCTCATATCTGAAGGACAAGGACATGGGGGGGCAACCTTCAATGACTTGGAAGCATCCACACGGATTTCCCGTTCAGTATTGGCATCCACTTGCGACAACGTTTCTTGTTTCTCAGAGTTATGCCCAATAGAAACCAAGCCTTCAATGATTTCCTCTCTATCTCTTGTATTACATTCAAGCACACCAGGAACATCAGGACTTGAATGAAATGTATCTCTTCCGTCAGAGCTCATATCAACCTCAGAGGTAGCCGTTTGGTTGAAATAGAGGCTTCCGAGGTCACCATCATAAGGTAAGTCATCCTGATCCTCGTCACTGGTATCTTGTCCTGGTTCTTCATGCTTTAATGGCTGCTCATCTTGCACGGTGTTCGGTTTTTGGGCAGACACATGCAATATGCTGCTCTTGGTCTTGCTCTCTACAACCCTCTTACTCTGACTGCTAACAGAACTGGACTCTGAGGAGGTTACGTCCAAGGGTGACAGCTCTGTGCTCTCTGTAAGTTAAAGAACAACAACTACATAAATACCAAAATAGAGGGTTGCATGGATTCCTTTAAGCCATTGAATTCACTTTGTGGACATATGACATTTCACGTTTTAATGAAAGCTCTATATGTGAATATTTTGTCATTACAACATATATATATTAGGAACCTGTTCTGAATCTGAGAGAACAACTATTTTATTAATGCAAACTTTGCTAAAAGTTTATAGAGTTTTTCAGAAAGTATATTGATGTATAGTTCAGGATAGATGAAAACAGACAGGTTAACATCCAACCAAAAAACAAAAAAATAAATAGAGGTGACTCCAGGACTCACCACTGAGATGGATGCTGGACTCTGAGGCTGCAGACTCTGCCTCCCACAGATGTAAGGCTAAAGAACTCTCCAAATCACTGAGGTGGAGACTTTCATCCTCACTGAGATCAACAAAGATGCTCTGCTGAATGCACCTCTCCCAGAGAACAGTGGGCAGGTCCTCTCCCTGAACATCCTCATCTGATTCCTCTCCCTCCATGGACACTGTTTTCACCTGTGTCAAGGCAGGGGGTAAGGAAGGAGGATGGAGCACCTGTTTTTATCACTTAGCAACGCAACTTGTTAAGTGACAACATTGGATCAAAATGTGCTAATCCGTCAATTATTTAACACACTTTGCATTGTGTGGTCAAATGTTTGCGTGACTTCTACAGTACAGTGTTTGTGTGAATGATGTTTATGGTTGAAAGTGTGTGTGAAACAGCAGTATAAGAAATGTTAGTCAACTACTTAAAATAAATTCCAAAATACAAAAATTCTCCATTACTAGAAAAAGTCCTAGATTTTAAATAATAGTTAAAAGTGTTATCAGCATTTACCAAAAGTAAAAGTACCTCTTGTGCATTTTGCTGCAGTTACCGGTATTTATTTTGTATCCATATTCTAAAATAATAATACATATCAATATTGATTGTAATATTTGTATGTACAGTATAGTAACTATATGTCAGATAAATGTAATAAAGTAAAATGCACATTATTTCATATTTGTATTTATTTATTTTGTAATAGTAAATACTGTACTTTAAGTAGCAGAAGACCTATTCAAGTGCAGTATGAGTAATCCAAACTGTACTGTAAGTACTGTAGCTTCTTGAGTGAATGTAATTAGTTGTTATGAGTGATGAAAGAAGTGCAAATCTGTTAACCACAGATAAAACTCATAGATTCAAAATCTTACAAGTAAGTTAGTTCACCGTCTTTTTATTCTAACTATTAAGAATAATTATTTGTTTAGTAGCCTACAGTTTTTGTAATTAATTTGAATTTGCAAAGTAACTACAGTCGTGGAGTGAAGATGACCTCCACCCTTGAAGTAGGATATAAGTGCAAATGAGCAAAAAATAAAAAAGCTCAATTAAATTACATTGCAGGCTACTTTAAAATAGACTACTAACGCTGCAGTAGCTTAATTGAGTACATTTACTCAGTAATTGTTCCACCATGTTGAGTGCGGCATTACAACAAATAGGCTACACACTAACACTGAACAGTCAAAAAGCAAGTACACATTTCAGTTTCCGTTCTGCTATTTGCTATCTTTACAGTCTAACATTACGTTGATGTGGTAACTTACTCCGCCTTTAAACTGGTTCTCAGCAGTGCCCCATTAGTTGATCCGATCCACAGCCGCTGCTCCTTCCCCTGACATCATCCTACAACTAGCTGCAGTGTTTCTGAGTCTTTCTTTCTTGACATATGCTTTCTCGAAAGGTTTAGTGTCTGTGGCATCATTAATAATGAAGTCTGCACGGCAGCGCTGAGCGTCTGGAGCCCGGATGGCAGCGCACAGGCATACAATGTGGTTGCTAGGAGACGATAGTGAAACCACCAAAAAGACTACCACTGATGTTAGTTAGCGTTAGCAAGTCAATACAACCATGTATTTAGACACTTATTGAGAGTCTTTTAGTGTGTCTGACTACACCCTGACAGCGGCCAGGTGTCCCTTTGTGCTTAGTGCTTACACTGAGAAAAAGTGTGTCTAATTGTCACATGATGAAGTTTGCTTGTCAGCCAAATAATGAAAATTAATACGTCACCTCTTTTCTATTCAAATCTATTGGTCCAATGACTGTTGTTCAGGGCGTGGCTATCTTTGAATGTCGCCCACTGATTGGCTACTCGGCAAAAACAGTACAGCCACAAGGCTTTTCTTCTTTCTCGCCCGAAGTTAAATCGGAGTTTTACAAAAGTTAAAGGACAATGTAGTGTAAGGCTAACTATAGTACAGTTTGACACTAAATAACAGACGTCTGCGTTTAAAAAAAAATCGACCTTATGTTTTTCTTCTTGTGAGAAAGTAAAGAAAAAAAGAGGATAATTCACCATTGTTCGAACTGGATCGTCTAACGTAAGTTGAGCAGCCAACATGCTAGCTTGCTAATCTCTAGCTGGATGTGATAGTGTAACTAAAGAGGGGTGAATTCACTGCCCAATGTTGAGTCTTTAAGCCGGTGTTAAATTTAAGACAAAATATAGTGCATCAAGATCGTGTTTTATCACAATCCTCCCTTCAAACCCTCTTATTGATGAGTAACGCTAAAAAAACATGTCTGTAGAAGCTCATACTGACAGTTATTTGTCCTGTAAAAATAATCATTACGGAATTCGGATAAGCAATAATGTTACTGTTTCTTTGCTGCCAGATTATATCTAAAAGAATCATAAACATATGTTGTATTTTAAACCTGACTCAATGCATATTGCAAACTGTTTAACTGCATTTGTGTTGCATAATTTTGTCCACGTTCATTCATATGTCATATCATGTCACATTAACCTATTACATCTTATGCCAGTTTAGTAATGCACACTTTTTACAAAAATACACACTTCACCCAGTATTCACCCAGTATTTGGCATATGTACAATCAGTTGCCAGTTTATAATGTAAACTTAACTAAAACGAAAGCAACAGCCCTGCGAGGAATATATAAATATTTTTTTGGTTGAAAAACAAAGGTGTTGATTTAAAAATGGATGGTTATTTTGGAGGCTGTAGTTTGAGAGTCTGTTGAAATATATTTGCCTTATTGTGAGTTGGGTTTCTAATATTTGGCCTTCCCTCATTGAGTTATTATGTATACCATGTTCGTGTATCCCAAAAACAGGAAACTGAGGGTGTAAATCTCCACTTATTTAGTGTGATTTCAATGTATCATAGTCTCCATAATCATGTAGGGAAAATACTCTCAATATACTTTGTTCTGCAACACCACTATATTTAGGTGTACAGTTATTCATGGTCACAACACTTTTCCTTGCAGGCTTCCCAGATTTCCTGTTCCTGTTTGGAAGACTTACCGGTCAGTATCCCAGTACTTATGTTGCTGTTTCATTGTTTTGGTGCTGGCTCATGGTGTAATGCTGAAAGGGGTTTCCATATTTAGATTGGGCTGTATGTGTCAGTAGTCATTTTGGTGCATCAATGGCCTGTAAGCACAATACAAATAGGTCCTATCTGCTGTGTGTATTTAAGATGAAATCATGTCCTCTTTGGGACTCAAGAGTCAGTCAACAACCTCTTGTGTCCTTTGATGTTCCTTTTAGTCACGGACCTTTTTCTTCCTGTTACACACACTTGTTCATGCTTACTTTAACTGTAGTTTGGCAGGTCTCTTTAAAACACACCCAGTTGGCATACAATAGCAGAAAAGGCTGCACGAACACTGGCACACATCAATAGGTGATTATAATAATGTCTAAGAACCTGTAGTGCACACACTAACAAAGCATAGTTTGTATTATAACTTTTCACATTCACACACCAGCAGGAAGAACAGGCTGGACAAGAGATGATCATTTTGTGTAGCTTTTTAATGTCAGACAATTCCATATATATGTGCTATGAATTGCCAGAGGCTGTTTTGTTTAGTTAATGCATCGGTAAGATACAAGCCTCTTCTTGCAATATCAGCATTCAGCAGCCACAACACTACTCTTATATTCACAGTTGTTTGTTCTTCACAAACAAGGCTTATCTATGTATCTTCAAGCTAACCCTTGTAAAAAGACCCCTCAGTTCTAGCTTTAGTGTTGAATTACCACCGCCACTCACACTGTGTGGAGCCTTTTCATGAAGCGGAATTTACCAGAACAACAAGAGATTCTGACATCAACAAGGCATGATTAAGTTCTGCAATTTGTCAAAACAGTTTTTGTTTCGGTTTTGTTTGCCATCTGTTTTTAAGATGTTTCTCTTCTTTCAGTATGAACTCAGTGCTGATTTAATACAGAAAACTACAAACTAAGCATGTTTCAGATCAAAGGTCCTAATCAAAAGTACTTTATTAACACCGGCCTCCTTTTATGTACAGTCAGTAGGACTAGGCCTGGATTAGTCACAGTACATTACATTTTTTACTTTGAAGTAATATTACAATAAGGCAATTCAGTAATGCATTATGTGGTGCGGGACAGGTTGAGTTGCTAGAAAATCAGCACAGTGCTGGTCACATATCGTTTGACTAAATAAAGAACCTTGAACCTTCATATACAGAGCCAAAACTATCAAATTCAATGCCATGTGCCGGTGCCATGTGTTTTAACAGTCTCTGGAAGGTTTTCAAATAAACACACTGCTATTTTTGTCATGTCTTTGTTGTGTTTTAACTGTTATTTAGCATAAAGAATGAACCCAGTTTGCTCAAAACTGGTCTGCCTTGGTTGAATGTGGGGGACAAATGGGTGTGGCTAATATGACCTCATGGAGAAATTAGGTAATGATTAGCTCTGGTCTTTGCTTGGGTCTATCTTATCCATGTAGCTTGCTTATCACTGTCTTTTCCTTTGGTGGAAGTTGCATACGCACAGTAGGATCTTCTGTTTTCCCATTTTTCCGAGCTTCAATTTGAATTGAATCACCATTTTCTTGATGAATCAAGCAGGTTGCTTTTCTTTTCTCCCTCTTGATTGCATTTACACACTCATATCATATGTTTCTGCCATCTCTGCCTGCATAGATTACATTCTGTGGAGTTCATTGCTTTCTCAGCAACTTTAGAACACACACATCTCCAAGCCTGGATGAATTGAGTCACAGCTTGCCGGGTGTTGACCACCGTGCTCCCTCACTTTCTGCCTGCCCTGCTTCTGGACGCTGCTGTTTGGTTGGCGTTGCCATGGCACCGTATGACCAGAAAGAGGCTTCACATACAGCATCTTGTGTTCTCTTCACAGAGGGCCGCTGAGGTGCAGTGACGCAAAAACACACAGTAGGCGAACGCAGCCGAATGGACTGGCGCTCAGGACTCTGACACTCAGAGGGGTCTCCTCCCCCTGTCCACACTCAGCAGAGGGACGCTCAGACCTGACCGTATTCCGTGACCTTTTGTCTGGTTTGCCTAATCCTATTCAACCAAAGACTTTTTATTTTATTTTGGTGGCTCTTGGTTTTAAACAAAACCATTTTTTTCCTGTGGCAAAACTGGGATTTCCCCTCATATTATGCACATCAATGGATACCAGTGGCTCAGTGGTTAGCATGGGATCTGAGGAGCAGTCCTTTCATGTCCGCTACAGGTAGGAGTCTCTCGCATCTCAACTAAAGTATGGTTGTAGAGTAGATTTCCTGTCTCTTTTCTCTTTACATTTTGCTTTCCCTTGTTCGTTTTAGAAGGGACTGTGAGTTAAATGATTAGATGTAATTAGAGAAGAAAAATATCTTTATAATTGTCATTATTTAAACCCTTGTTACATACAATGTGTCAGGTTACATATACGGTAGTTATTTATGTTTGACCTTGTTTAGGAAGAGATGGGTGTGTATTATGAAAAAAAGAATTGCAGCCCAAATGATAGAGTTGGAAGGTACTGTAATGTCACAGAGCTTTCTGTGGGATTGTTGACTAAGGGCAGGCCAGTTTCCCCAAACAGGCGTAAGCCAGCTGTCCCTATATACACAGGTAAAGAGCTCTGCAGCAGGTGTGTCCTGCTCCCGCATGCTTCAATATTTAATAAGCCTTGAAAAATTCATCATTGCTTGCTTTGTTTTTCACCACACGTGTGTCAAATTTATTTGGATAGAGTAGGTGTCTGCTTGGTGGGAGGATATGTTTTCCCAATGGAAACTACTCTTGATTGTTATGGATAATTACTTGATTCCATTAAACTTCCCAACAGAGTCTGCCTCCACCTGACACGTCTAATAAATCTACTTAACACTCACCAGCGACATAATCTGCCGGGTACGCACTACAGCCATTATCTCAGGTGACCCGCTCAGCAGAGAGCGCTTTACAGACAAGCAGATTAGCTGAGAGAATGCTGATGGAGCAGTTTCCATGCTGCCATGCATTGAAGGTAAATACTCTGACGGCATCACACGCGTTTCCTTGAAAGTTTTCCAATGCGTGAGTGATGCTAAAATAGCTCTATGATGTCAGATGACTTTTTTTTAAAGACTTAAATGAGCATCGAGCTGAATCTTGACGACCTCTTTGAGTACAGAGAACAAGTTGTTTTGCTCTCTCCATGCTTCAAACAAAAAGAAGGAGCTGCAATCTTAAAGTTTTTCTTTTGGAGACTTTTAGATGCCTATCAAAAGCTGCATGCGCTGTTGTTGTTGTTGTCTTAGGACCCGAAAAGCCAACAGGTAGGCTAGTATTTTAGTGTTTGAAACTTATGTTGTTAACTTGACTTATTCATAACGCCATGTTTCGCTTTGTTCACCAATTATAGCCTGAATGATGAAACAAGCTACTTTGTTCGGTGTTTTATTTTTTATTTGAATAGCACACCATAGATACTGCTTCACATGACAAATCCACTGTTAGATTGTGTCTATAGGTTGGTTTTTCTGGCTCGGTTTTGGGAAGTTTTCAGACAAAACCTTGGGTGGGTACTCAAGGAAACGTGAGATAAACAATCTCAATAAAGTGAGAACTTGACTTTGGAGCCTATCACTTCCCATCAATACAGTTTCCTGAAAAACTAAAGTCGGCAGACTAAAATGTTTTGCTTTGTTCTCATATGCCGCCTGATCTAAAAATAGATAAGTCCCAAACAATTGTCATGAGTCTCTTTCATCTGTGCCTAACCTCATTTGTTACTCAATAAGCCTAGCTGTTTAAGTGGTCCCCTCTGGCTAACCCTTCTTTCTTTATATTGATTTTGTAACTACAACCTGGAAAAGTAGTAGTAGTAGTAGTAGTTAGTAGCACTAACTACAAAAGTCACTAAACAAGAGAGAAAGTTCCCAAGTTAGCAACACTGACAATCCATCCCCTCTACAGCCACAACCCATAATTATCTTTATGGGAATAAACATATAATCAGCGCAAATAATGAACATGACAACTGTTAGTAGTCACAGCTGTAAAGCTGTAAACAGCTTTTTGAAGATTCAGGAGAGTGCAGAGACAGTGCACGCAGGTAGTTGGACAGACTTGTTTTAGGAAATATGTTTGCAAATGTTTCTTAATTTAATTAACAACCAAAGCTTCAAACTATTTCTAATTGAGAACAAAAGTTAATAATAGGAAAATGGTGAACATCAATATGCTTTCACAATCCGACCTGCTCTTAGTTTCACTGGCTGTCAAAGGAACCCGCTTCACTTTCTGAGGCCTGTCCAAAGAATGTGAGATCTACCAAACAGTAACAAACAGACTCCAGGCCGAGCCATTGTTCTCGGTAGTTGGAAGGAAGTAGATAAAAGCTTGTTTTTTTCGCTCTGTTCCCTGCTGGCAAGTGGAGTTCATTCAGTTGGCTGTAGAGTTCAGCCAGAGAAGATCTACTTTCCAACAAGCTCTTCATTATTGGGCCTTTATCATTGTCTTTGGATTCTTCAGTGCTGCTCAGATAGTAGCCAGACTGACTCTGCTCCTCTCTGCTGTAGGATGGAGGTGTCCTGTCTGGAGCTGGCGTTGGAGGGTGAGCGGCTCTGTAAGGTGGGCGACTACAGGGCAGGGGTCTCCTTCTTCGAAGCGGCCATCCAGGTGGGCACAGAGGACCTGCAGGTACTCAGCGCCATCTACAGCCAGCTGGGCAATGCCTACTTCCACCTGCATGACCACGCCAAGGCCCTGGAGTTCCACCGGCATGACCTGACCCTGACCAGGTTAGACCCTCACAAGAACCCCACAGCAGCTCATCACGATATGTTCTATCTCTAACATGATTTGTGTTGAATAGGACCATTGGTGACCTGCTTGGAGAAGCCAAAGCCAGCGGAAACCTTGGTAACACATTGAAAGTGTTGGGGCGGTTTGACGAGGCTGTGGTTTGCTGTCAGAGGCACTTGGACATAGCCAGAGACATCAATGATAAGGTGGGTCAGCAGGATGTTTAAAGGTCACCTATTATGCAAAAAACAATTAAAAAAACAAAACAAATACCCCTTTGTGTTAAGAGATTCGGAAAGTTTCAATAAAAAACTCTCTCTTTTTGTCCTGATTAATTTATAAAAACCTGTCTGAAAATGTGCTGTTTGCTATTTCGAGCCAAACACTTCAGAGACATGTTTTGTATATATCTGAGACCTATAATATGTTGTTATAACCTTTAAGCCAATAAGAGATGATCTATATGCAGTGAAATATTCTGTAGTGTATCGGGCGTTCAGACCACACTTACCTTCCACGCTGACATGTTTTCCCTTGATTTGTTTTAGGTGGGTCAGGCGCGAGCTCTGTATAACTTTGGGAATGTTTACCATGCCAAAGGCAAAAGTATCTGTTGGAGTGGAGCGGAGCCGGGAGACTTCCCAGAGGAGGTGATGGAGGCCCTGGGAAAGGCTGCCGAGTATTACGAGTAAGTGATTGTACTGGTGATGTTTGAATTCTACAATGTCTTTCTGCTTTTATCCATTCATATTTCATCTGACTGTTTGTGTATTTTCAGGGCAAACTTGGCTATAGTGAAGGAGCTTGGGGATCGCGCTGCTCAGGGTCGAACCTATGGTAACCTCGGCAACACGTACTACTTGTTGGGAAGCTTTCGCCAAGCGGTTGCTTCTCACGAACAGGTGGGGTATAACACTAAAACCACTTTGCTATCAAAGCATATTGGCACAGTCTTTACACTACATTGAAAAGCAAACCTACTCTTGCAATGAAAGTTATTCTAATAGATATAATAATTATATTTCTGTGGCTCTTCTGTTCTCTTTCTCTTAACAGCGGTTGCGCATAGCTAAGGAGTTTGGCGACCGCTCTGCAGAGAGACGGGCGTACTGCAACCTGGGGAACGCCTACATCTTTTTGGGAGATTTTGAAGTGGCAGCTGAACATTACAAGTAAGCCACAGCCTACATATTCATATACATTTTTTAAAATGTTCTGTATAACAAGCCATGCATGCATACATGTTTTTGCAGGCAGTTTCCAAGAACTGTTATACTTTACTCGACAGACAAGATCCTTTACATATGTTGGCAGAATAGATTTCTTGGTTGAAACTACAGTAGTCTTGGTTGAACCAGAAGGGTTCACTGAACAAACACTCCACTTAAAGGTCACATGTCATGCTTTTCCGGTTATTACCCGTCCCCTCTTGTGTTATTAAGGCTTTTCTTCATGTTAACGGTGTGCAGAGTCAAAACCCTCAAAGTACACCCTGAAGCGAGTAAAACTCTAAAACAGAAAATACCTCCCCAAAACGCCTCGTTGGAGATACGTCATTGTCCATTGTTTATTTCCTGGGTGCTGTGTCGTAGGAATGGCCAGTAGCCGGATTGGCCGCAAATGGGCCAATTCGTGGAGCCGTTACGTTACGTCCGCGGAGCCGTTACGGTAACGGCTCCGCGGACGTAACGTAACGGCTCCACGAATTGGCCCATTTGCGGCCAATCCGGCTACTGGCCATTCCTACGACACAGCACCCAGGAAATANTAAATAAATAACATAGTAGAAAATAAATATATTGCAATGCTCAAAACAGCAGAATCCAACCGTCTCTAATCCTTGGATATTACATGTCACTGCATGCATGCACGGAGCAGCTGTAGCGCGGAGATCATCATATCATTCTGTCTTGTATTACTTAAAGGTCACATGTCATGGCCATTTCCACTGATCATAATTCCATTGTTGAGGTATACTAAAATAGAAAAATACTGCGCAATTTTCCAAACTCACATTGGTTTCGCATACAGCATCTCTGTAAAGTATGTGTATTCAGCAGTATTCACTTTCTCCACTAAACGGCTCGCTGCAGCTCCCCCCCCTCCGTGATTTCCTTGTTTAGCGATACACAGCCAGACTCAACCTGAACACACACAAAGTCACAGCCGAAATAAAAACAATAAGTGTGGCTTGATATTGAGTAAGAAAAAGGTTTATAGGTTGATAAACGCTGTGAGAATGGGTCTACAGAGAGAATTTTGCGCGATCCCAATCCCAACTGTCTGTTATCAGCCTGCAGCCAGGGAGCAGAAATCAGCAGGGCTGCCGGCACTGAGTGTGTGTGTGGATTGGTCAAAATGGTTGATNCCAGGATGGGCAGAAGACACAGCATGGAGAACCTGGAGCTGATGAAACTCACTCCAGACAAGATGAATGTAAGAACTCCTCTCCTGTTACATGACTGACACACACACACACACACACACACACACACACACACACACACACACACACACACACACACACACACACACACACACACACACACACACACACACCTCATTTGATTCTCTGTCTTATTCATGCTTTGCCACTAAAACAAGATATATCTCAAGTTTGACCAGGTGATTGGATCCTTTATCATCTCCAAGCCTATTGGAGATGATAAAGGATCTATTGGATATTCTCTAAGTCTATTGTCTTACCCAAAATCCCCCCCTGCATTGTGGTAATAATCCATTCCTGTGTGTTGAAGGGACAGAAGTGGAACAGTGACATCCTGACCAAACAGTCCAAACCCTCCATGACGAAGGGCTCCTCCAAGCTGTTCTTCGTCAGCCGTCTGCGTGGGAAGAAGTTCAAGTCTGGTGGCTCCAGTAAGGTCCTGCAGGACACCAGCAACACCCTGGACAGCAGCCAGACCCCCGCACAGGGGCCACAGAAGGTACAGAGCACAGGGTGTACTCAGCTGATAACCACACAAATGCCTAGATCTCAGTCAGTATCCCACAGCTGTCATCAGAAGGCCAGTTCCCTTCAGCTGTGTTTCATGTTCCTGTTTCTGCGCTCCATCAGAGACTCAGTCCTGACATGCTGGGAGACGAGGGCTTCTTCGACCTGCTGAGCCGTTTCCAGAGCAACCGCATGGATGACCAACGCTGTTCAATCCAGGATAAGGGCAGCCGGTTATCGCTAAGCAGCGGCCCAGAGTTGCCTCCCACAGTCATCAGGAAATGTGAGTCCATGCATCCACACTCAATAGTAATGGTGTAAGAAAATATCAAGAGTATCTTCTGTTGGTTATGTATTATCCTTTTTTAATAAGTAGTTTACTCCGTCAATACTTTATTTAATTTGTAAATACATGAGCCTTATAAAAGTATGTTTTTAATGGGGTAATCAGTGTTATGGCGATAAATGCAAATGCAGATCCCACTGTTCGGATTCAACTGTTCGGATTCAACTTATTTTGCTCAGATTTTTGGTGTGTTACGTTTTAAGAACTGCAATATATAGCGACTGACTTACAGTATCACAGTATGTTAATTAGTAACTCCTCTGTAACACGTATCAAACCTGCAGATTCTTGCCTCACTTTTGACTTAAAAATCATCTGATTGCCGAAACGCGTCTCCCTTTTTATCTATTGTCATTTCAAAATGTCTCTCCCACTCTGCAGCTGTATCAGAGTCCGCCAACGTCTCAGGCACACAGGGCCGGCGGTTAGAGGGGCCGTCAGCTGCGGGGGGGAGCCTGCCCGGCCTCAGGCTCCATCAAAACAGCAACCAAGCGGTGCTCAGCCACCTGATGGCCAACGCTGACAACGCCGAGCCTGACGACGACTTCTTCGATATGCTCGTCAAGTGCCAGGTACCTGATCTGACCAAATATAGAGCTACAGTTTTGATTTTACTGTACATTGAACACAAAATAAATGATAATGTGCTTCCAAAACACTCTTTTCCGTGCTATCAGGGGTCCCGTTTGGATGACCAGCGCTGTACCGCTCCCCCTCCTCCAATCAGAGGTCCGACTGTACCTGACGAGGACTTCTTCAGCCTCATCATGCGCTCTCAGGCCAAACGGATGGACGAGCAGCGAGTCGCCCTCCCGTCTGCAGCGAATACTACAGCCAGGCCGAACACCAACTCCTAAACCCAGGGGGGGGGGTCTCTGTCTGTTTTCATCTCATGAAGGTGTGGACAGCATTATGAAAGACCAGCAGGTGGTCCCTCACAAGTAGCCTTATATCTTCAGTCCTTTTGGACAAAACAAAGCACTGTCAGAATTCTATTTAGTACAAAGTATGTAAAGAAAGGACTTGTTTCGCACTCTCCGTAGCATCAGGGACAAAAGTGTTGTTTTTTTATCCTTTTGTACAAATTTCATTTCACCCTATGTGTATTTTTAAATACACTTCTACAGTTGTGTCTGTATTTATTGTACTTTTATGATTGTTACGATTTTTTTGTTAACTGCCGTCCTACCACCATGAAAAAATGTGGTTTTCTCAAAGTGGTTTCTGAGTCAGGGAGGAGCAGCACTCTTTCCATGTATTTTGCTTTTTTTAAAGGGAGGCCTAAAAGTTACCACGGTCAGAATAATAAAATAGTATTTTTAAGCAAACTGTATGATAAAATAATGAATTGAACCCCTGTGCAGCCCTTTGTTTGTTTGTACTTGGCCAGAGGAATAAAGCCTCTTCCATGTAGTTATCTTGTTTTGACTTTTCTTTTAATGAACTGTTTATTTCCACTAAACACAGAAGATCCAGCTTGTGTAAAAGACACTTTATTGAACGTACCAGCAGTCAGACTTGAGTTAGCTTGAATTAATTTAAGTCACTTTTTAAAAACAAGAATTAGAAAGGCTAAACACAACAGCCACTAGCATTTCAAAAACAATAACTGTACATACATAAAGTCAACTGAAATAAATAAATCTATGTACGTAGTTAGTTTGGCCTTATTTGTTAAAACTATATATACAATACATCAAAATAAAATATGCATCTTTGTAAGTAAATCAGTACTAGAAGACAATGTTAAAAGACAAAAGTGCGCATTTAAAAAACAGAAGAATAGTACAATGCATATGCCCCAAATACTGGTTCTAAATAAATATCAAAACACCCGTGCTTCCTTTCAGATTTCACTGTGCATGTGGTTAGAGCCTCAGTACGTGCAAAGACTGCCCCCTACTGTCGTTAAAGTGTTACAGGAGACTAACCAAAGCTTACTGAAGATTCCCAATCTGAATGCAAGGACTCTCAACCACAAATCACACTTAGTATTTCCCTTTGACGCTGACATAATATTGATCTTCCACTGCAAGCAAGCCATCGCAACACACTGTAACAGCTTCAGAGCAAGAACACTGATTTAAATGTAAAACAAATGCACAAGCGATTTTACACATTTGCGTTGTAGCAATGCAGAGTATACAGTAACATGAGACATCAGCACATCCCACAGGGAACAGAATCACTTCCACAGACTCCGCATAGGGAAAGCTCAAAAATACATTTTCCACAATAAATTCAACTCGCTTCCTCAAACAATAGCAGCAATACAGCAGCTGTAAGAAAATGATACTCAAAAGAAGAAGGAATGTAGGACTTCTCGAGATAACTCAACAAATGTTGATCTTTAAAAATGACCATATTATCTTTGTTCGTTTTTTTATAACGATTTTGTTATGGAAACTGAGAACTCAAGGAAGGCACCATCATGAACAAAGCACTCTGTGCTGTCTAACCTCAACAACTCCTCAGTGAAAAGGACATGCAGCAACAAACTGGTGTGTGTAGGGAGTGAGATGTACTGTAGGTGAAATGATGCTGAAAATAATGAATGATCATCCTGCTGTTGTGACCCTGATGTTAAACACAGTGGGTGTGAAGCATGAAATGTGAGTGATGTTTTAAAAAAACAAACATGCAATATGTGTGCTTTTATGTGTCGCAGGCCTGAATCCATTTTGGTTTCCTACAGACAGAAGTGAAAGGCCCATTCACCTGTGTGTGTGTGTGTGTGTTTGTGTGTGTGTGTGTGTGTGTGTGTGTGTTTGTGTGTGCGCGTGCGTGCGTGCATGTGTTGTTCAAGCTGGGAGTGTGTTGAAAGGGAGTGACTGTTGGGAGTGCAAGAGAAGCAGTGTTATAGGGGGGACGTGTGTCTTTTAGATTATAACTGGTTGTGTCATTTTGCATGTGTGTGTGTGTGTGCGTGTGCGTGTGCGTGTGTGTGTGTGTGTGTGTGTGTGTGTTCGGGTTGTGTGTGTGTGCGTGTGCGTGTGCGTGTGCGTGTGTGGGTTACGGGTTGTGTGTCCAGAGTGTAACAGTGCGGTCAGCAGAGGATGAGAGGAAGGACAGGTCCTCTGTGTGCCATCGACACTGGATCACTTTGTCTCCGTGCTCTCCCACCACCGTCTGAGGCAGCGGCTTGGTCAGGTCGCCTAGAAACACACTCAGTTGTATTAAATATCACTCAACTTTTTATTATACAATGACTTTTTTAAATACTTTTTTTATGACAAACTTCACAATGACTTTTTTAAATATTTGTTTTATGTCACACTTCACAATGACTTTTTCAACTGATGTACTATACTATGACTTTACAACATGTATCTCTAATAGTGACAACTGTTTAATCGCATACTGTACTTTATATTGAAATGTTATCAAATTCCAAAGATATTCAATTTTCAATGACATACAAACGCACAATAAACAGAAAACTTTTGAAACAATATATAATATAATAATTAAAGGTGCCCAAAAATACATGACTTTCAAACACATGCATGGCCCTTTGGTCAGAGTATAAAATAGGATAGCCTACATAAAAAGACAACTTAAAGCAGTATGTATGTCATTTTGGTCACAGACTCTAAACTAAGCATCCTCTTGCAGTAGTTAGGGAACACAATTAAAGCAGTATGTATAAATAATAAATAAATACTTTGTGGGTAGATGGGACATACCTTGGAGGTTGCTGACGATGACCTTCATGTCGTAGGAGCCGGTGAGAAGGTAGTGCGCTCCGGGGGAAAACCGGACGGATCTCACGTCGCTGGAGTGCGGCCGATACACCTGTACGGTCCGTCCTCCTCTGATGTCATACAGCATGCATGCACTGTCTTCCTGTCCTGTTGCTAGGAGACGGCCACTAGGATCGACTGCTACCGAGGCAACAGGACTTCCTGTGCGGAAAAAAAGGGTGTGGATGTAAAAACCTGGACATGATAACCAGTCAAATCTATCAGGTCTGACAAAGACTGGACAATACAGCAAACAATGCCAAAAATAATTGCGATTCTCGATATTACCCAGATAATCATCAAAATACCCTTACATCTTTTAAATAGCACTACTGGATTCACTTTGTTACATTTTGTTCAACAAACATAGAAAAGGAACATTTTGAGAGTCTGTTCTATAATTATTCCTGTATTTTTTAAATCAGGCTTTTTACTCTATCTATAGAGAGCTAGACAGCTTTAATCACGATGCCTGATATTCCCCAGAATCAACGGATTCTGAATATATTTATCCATCTATCCACGATAAAATCTGTCATTGTCCCATCCCCACTAAGAGAGTCATTGTCATCATTAAATATCTCATCATTTCTTTGCAGAGCATCAGCAACTATTGTGGAAGTGGTTCTTCTTCTGGTACATGGCTCAAACTTTTAAAAGTATTGATGGAGTTATTTGTCCAAAAACATGCAGGCCTTACCTGAGCCGAGGCAAGCAGTCCCCACCACTCGCACACAGCTGGGCACCCTGAGGTCCCAGAAACGCACCGTCTTGTCTTGAGAGCCCGAGGCGATCATCCAGCCCCCCCACGTGTACAGAGACAGAATGTGACCTGAACAGCAACACGAAAACGACATGTCACACACACTCTCTCCCTGACCCCTTCATGTTTTCAGTTCAGATGGATGGTGTACCTGTGTGTCCGCTGAGCGCGTGAAGACCCTGGCCCCTCTGACAGTCGGTGGTGTAGATGTTACAGTCTCCAGCTCCGGCGCTGATCAAGATGGCTCCTCCACTCTCCGGACCCTCCATGAAGGCCAGGTCTCGGATGGTGCCGTCATGCATGCTGAACTCCAGGTCTGGGCCTGGCCACAGAGAGACATAAACACACATGAGACTGGTTCTGAGGTGCCAATAGGCCCCGCCCCCAAGTATCCACTGTCTGTACCTGTGGCGTTGCACGTCTCCGCATTGAAAGGGAGGACTTTGACATATTTGTCATTGGAGCCGGTGGCCAGCAGCTGCCCACAGTGGCTCCAGGCCACGCAGTAGATGGAGCCTTTGTGGTGTTTGTTCCTCTTGAAGCGCACCACCGGCTGCTTCGGGGGACTGGAACCACTGAGGAGAGGACAAGGGAAGAGGAGGCAAGGAAAGACAGGTAGGAGACAAAACAAGTTAATAGGAAGATGCTAAAAATGTAGTCAACATGTGGCCAATTTGTCCAACACAGTATATGGTTTGAACTTTAAGCCTCTACGTTTTAACCAACATAGATGAGAAGCACAATAAAATGGACATTTGAACTTTTTTTACAACTTTGCAACTACATCTGCTCAGAATGATCACGTGATATTATCAAAAGCTTCTTACTAACTAAAGGAAAACACATTAATGATACAGAGAGCAGTGGTCTGCAGATCCATGGTCAGGTTGAATTCTCTGCCGGTGCATATTATTCAGGAACGTTTTCTAAATCAGTTTAAAATGTTGTCAAAACAGTATCTCCAAACATTTCAGGAACCATGTTGAATACATGTTTACCATCACAGGATGGATGCCATATCATGTAAATGTCATACAGACAAGGTGTTATGTTTAATAATAATTAATATTTAGAAGAAAAAGTTGGCTATGATTCAAAATATCATCATCAACTATATTCTACACAGTTTTGGATGCAGGATGCAAAGATCACAACACGATATCATGGCCAGTGCATTTTGTTGTGATGCTTCATACAATCAACCATAAATACATATGGAACAGATAGGGTTACTCTTGATTAGGAGAATAAGGGGCTTGAGCTCTGTGTTACCTTTTGTCTAACGTGTCTGGGTAAGCACAGACGCGTAGTGTTTTGGAGTTGGATCCCACAGCGTAGAGCGACCCAGACGGGTGGAAGGCGACGGCTCGAATGGCCTGAGTGTCTTCCAGAGAATGAACCGGAACAAACAGGCTTTTAGTCGTGTCGCCCTGCAAACACACCCACATATTAAAACACATGAGGACGCAGATTATATGTAATTAGAAGTGTAAACTACTTTGATCATCCTGACACTATGACATCTATAATAGCATGATGCCACATTATGATATATGCATTGTCTAATCTGCCTAATTAGATGCAGCATGAGCTTGGACTGTGATGAACCAACAAGGAATCTACTCAACTTTAAAATCTGATCAGACAAGTTCAGAGAGTGTTAACAATATTAACAGCTAACCTGAGAGAAAAGGTATGTTTAAAATAAAGATATGAATAATAAAAAGGGCATATCTACCTCTTTACTTCGGGATAAGGAGCCTGGAGAGTCATCTAGTTGACTTTCTTTCAGTTTAGGCTCACTGCAAAAGCACAAAAATACATACATGTTAACACTGAAAACAACTCTGGTATAAAAACAAAAAGAAATCCTATCCAAAGTACCTCTGGGAGATGACAGGGGACTCATTTGGAGGCGGGACCGGGCGCCCCCCCACGGTGCGCTGAGGGGTGCTGCTGAGCACCCCTTCCTCTTTGGTTTGCTCCGGGCTCACAGATGGAGGGTTGTTATTGTCCTCAGAGGCGGGGGTGTTCCCGTTGCCATTACACTGCTGCGTCAGAGACTTCACCTCCTCTCCCAGATCATCCATCCCCACATTGAGCTCCTCCAGCTTCTGGATGGACCTGAGGAGCACACACACACACACACACACACACACACACACACACACACACACACACACACACACACACACACACACACACACAGAAAGTCTTTAGTTCTCTTTGCCCGTGCCTCTTCCTCTCTCATTTTATTATAGAACTCTTATACATAATAGGGTGGAATGCAATTCAAACTTCAGCAGACTAATTCAATATTCTCTCATAACAAAGATGAATTGAAACTGAATATTTAGTTAGAAGACATCATGTGAATTTAAGAAATTATAACATCTTCCTGTTTTTTCAATAGATGTTGACTTTTGGACTGCGCTCTGGAGATATTGGAAATGTTTGGATCACACTTAACAGAATAAAAAGATAGAAATTAGAAATTAGAAAAAAGCTGTGCAACTTGAGAATGGTGATTTAAAATGTAAATGTCAACTTTATTTATGAAGAGATGACCCTTCAAACTATTTCATAAAGCCCTATTACGTGCCATTTAGAAAGAAAGAAAAAGCCACTTCAAATTCTACTTTTCAGTCAACACACTGCTGTTGACCAACTAATTCTAGTTTGAAACTGAAAGGGCGGAGGACAAAAGAAAACTGAAGTAATGATGTAATTATTCACAGCTAGCCTTGTGAATAATGCAGAGGCTACAGGGAGAGGGAGGACAGGAGGAACTCTCAGGGGACAAATCAAAGAGCTTTTGTCTTGCTGACACAGCAGAAATAACACATGTCATTTTTGTCACAGACTCTAAACTAAGCATCCTCTTTCCATAGTTTGGGAACATGCTTAAATTGCCAAGGTACATGTGCTATTTCTGAGAATGATATTGTGTACAATTAATAAACAAAGTTCAGTGGTCCCATGAGTCCATCCCGGGGCAGATGGTGCACTGTGAACTGAAGGCATTATGGGGGATGTGTGTCGTACTAGGAAACCCCACATGGGGCTCATCACTTACAGGGCCTTATTATGTCCATTTCTCCATGTCTGACAGCTGCTGCTCTATTGTACCAACATATTGAACACCACACATAATTAGCGAGCTTGAAACACAAAAGCGCGACAGACTGCTTTCCATAGAGGTTTGCCATATGACATGACAGGTGTCTATACATACAGATGAACACTTCCTGTCTGACAGAGGAGCATTTCAGGTTTCTGTGTGTGTGTACCTGTTGAGGAACTTCTCCGTGAGGCTGTGCTGCATGTCGCTGGGCGGGGGCTCCTGCTGGACCCCTCCCTCCAGCAGCATCTGCTGGTAGAGCTGCCTCTGCTGCTGCTTCTGCTCCAGGTGCTGCTGCACACGGAGGCGCTGCCTGTAGTACTCCTCGTACTTCTCCGTCGAGTCACGAAGCTGAGGGTTGAACATGGGGTGATTACAAATCCCAAACTCAAGTTGGTTGTTGTTCACACACGTTACACAAAGGTCTTCACATCCTTCTCTGCTCGTTACATGAACACATCTTTGGGACTGTATACTGTATCTGTACAGTGTATATTCCTTTTAAACTATACCTTCGCACAAAACTTTCACTCCTCAAAACTACACAGCCCTTCTATTCTAGTCAGGAATATTTAGCATATTTTTATAGAATTCTTTTTTTCTTGTAATTTTATTCTATCAAGATCAGAAATGTTTAAACATTTTTGTAATATTTTTTCAAATTCATGTATATTTTTATTTATTTTTTGTACGTGTTTTTCTATTTAAGATATGCACCAATACGGCAATGCAAAAATCCTTGTACATGAAAAATTACCTGGCAATATATGTCTATTCTCTATTGTTAGGCAATTTGATCTAAATAGCTGATTTGCTCTGAATATGAAAACAAACAGGTAAAGGGCTCAGTAGAAAATATGAACACTAGCATGTAAAAATTCACACAGACACGTGTAGAAAACTCAGCACACACAAAGAGTAATATCCCCCCACCATACCCACTGCCAGCTGCTGTTAACTCTATTCAAAGGCAGCATTGTGCTCTAGCGTTTCTTCTGTCAGTTCAGGTATTAGAGGGGGGGAGGAGGGTGAGACTGACAGTAGAGGACAGGTCACTTCCCCTCTCTGTCCTCTGCTTCCTGTCCTCACAATCTGATGGGAACAGATCTACTGTATTTTTGTGAGGGGGGAGACACTGGCACAGTGCCCAGGATTGAGGGCAGAGAGTAAAACAAGAAAGAGAGGGGAGGAGACAGAGACTCTGCCTCTGTTCACGGCCTCTTTGTGTCTCTAGGGTGACGGAGAGGCAATAGCTTCACACTGAGCTGCAGAGGAGGGTCACACAGAGACGGGTACCGAGTTAACACCGTGTTTACAGGCAACATGAGGGGAGCAATGACTCATAGAACCACATTTTATTTCCCCCTGTTTCTGCTCTGCTCATCTCCTTTGTTACTGGCTGGAGAATCCACAACTACTAGAGGCCTTCTTTTAACATTGGAAAGCTGATTTATGGACATTTGGAAGTCACACTGAATCTAACAATGTGTGTGTCATGTCTGTGTGATCAGATTTGAGTTATGACTCAGATAAGGAGGATACATCGTGAATAATCAGCTACAAAAGCTACAAAGAAAGAGTAACTGTTGTTGCCATGTGTCTGTATACAGCATACACAAACCTTTATTCTACATGCACAAAGGTTTAAAGTGCAAATGAAGAGGCAGAGGACAACAGAGCTATAGTGCAGCATCGCTTTAAGCAGCCATGACAGTGCCACGCAGAAGGAGGATGACTCAGACACAACAAACTGAACATCAGAACTGCTCTATATATAGGCCTTCAGTGTAGGCAACACCCAGCAGGGAGAACAATAGGGACATTAGAAACAAAAGGGAAAGACTTGTTCAGTACACATTTAAAAGATCTAATGAGTTAAATATCAGAAGTGTACCTCGTTCCTGTCCTCGGAGTCGGCTGACGGTGCGTCCTCGCCCGGCGCTGAGGCAGGACGCAGACTCTGAGCTCCATCTGAACCCATCATCTTATCCACAGGTGTGTCTGTCCGTGACCTGCAGAGGAAACACACCAGAGCAACAGATTGAAGCTCTGCAAGGGGGATACTTTTTCAAATTCACTTGAAGTTATTATGATGTATTTATTTTGTTTTGTTTGTTTTTTACAAGAGCTTTCATTGTTATTTAAATGTGTATACCTATAATACCTTGTACGGTGTGAGGGTCTAAGGACAGAGGGTGTCGTATTGTCATACTGATATTCTGTACAAACTGTGAAGTCCACTGAGACAAATGTAACATTTGTGATATTGGGCTATATAAATAAACATTGATTGATTGATTGATTGATTGATTGATTGATTGATATAATAGTTCATAGATCACATTCTCCTGAATTGTATATTATTAAAAACAGTAACCAGAATCTACTTTTTATTTAATCTAGAACTCAAGAGTCATGTCTTCACTTCACACTTCCCTTGTTTTGTATGGGCAACTTCTGAAATGCACTTGAGTTTAGCCAATTTCTTCATATTTGACTATACTGTTTTCTTGCTTGCAGCTGATTGAGTTGATCAAAATGCATTGTTTTAATGTGTATTCCCTGTTGAGATGGTTCAAATATTTTAAAAACATGTTCAATACCATTCCAAAACATTTTCTTGTTTAATTTGTTTACACAACTTAGCTTATATATACATTCAAATTGCATACATCCAGTCATTCAAAGGGAAAGCTATTAGGGGGTCCCTGGTAAATGATCTATCCCTTAGGTCCTTGGCTTAAAGGCAATTGATCATCTCTGAATTGAGAAATCAGAGGTATTGCATTAAACTAGAAACGGACAAAAATGTGGCCCTCCTACGTTTCAGGTGACTCCTCGAAGATGCTGTGGCAGTCGGAGCTCTCCATCATGAGACTCCGGCTCTGCCCCCCCGATCCGGGGTAGTGGAAGTTGGCGAATGAGTGCGACATGGGAGAGACTCCTTTCCCCGGCGCTGCCTCCCCCCCGCTCGCTCTCTTATCCTGGCCGGACAGGCCGTAGGACAGCCCGTCCAGCGCTGGGTTCAACGAGCGGGACATGTAGGTGTCGGCAGACTGCGGGCGGCGCATGGGGGAGGAGGGGTAAGGGGACAGTTTGCTGATGAGAGGCGTGAGCAGGTCAGAGTAGCCCGTCTTAGTGGGCTTGACCAGGCGGTCCACGTGGATGTTGAGCTGCTTCTGTTCGAAGGCGCAGGAGAAGACAGTATGGGACAGGTTCTGCATCCACGAGAGCAGGGACAGGTCCAGGTCGTCACAGCCGTTACCGCAGAGCATGTCCACCCCCACCAGCACCTCACCCTCCATGATCTCCTCACCCGTCGCCTTGCTCTGGAGATAAGATACAACAACATGTAGGTTTAATCGTCTGCAAACTTTACACAAACCCATCTGTTGACTAGTTCAGACCACAGTTTGTGTGTTTGGTTTGACTGGTTCAGACCTGGCAGAACTCCACGCAGCACTCATAGAGGACTCCCTTTAGCAGCAGCTGGAAGAGTCGGTCCTTGCTGGCCTTGAATCCAGCCTCACTCAGCTTCCTGTCTGCAGGGATGAAGTCAGCCACCATGTTGCAGGCCTCCTCGAAACACTGAACCCTGGCCGTGCTCGGGTTCCATTCCTGCAGAATGCCAGCAGAGAAATACGAAATGAACACATGGAAGTACAAATATTAACAAAACACTGTACTGTTTGTAAGTGAATTCAATTAAACTTGAAGATCAGTGCACAAGAACATAAAAAGAAATACTGCTAGAGCCAAATATCCTAATAATAAATAAATCCTTAGTTAATGTTATACAGAAATGGCAGAAAATACTTATTAATATGATATTTGATATATATGGTGATGTCCGGCTTTCTTTTCTTTAAATATCATATTAAACTGAAAACCTATGATAAGAAACTGTGATTTACCTTTTTACAATTTTCAAAACAATTGATTGATTAAGTGAGAAAATAATTGGCAGATTAATTGAGAATGAAAATAGTTGAAGCTCCAGCTTCGAGTCTCAGCAGATTGCAAAAAACAAACAAGAACATTTATATATATACCGTATATATATATATATATATAAAAAGCATACTCTATTCTTTACTTATGTAATATTTCTGATTATCCAGTTTCATAATTCTTGCCTTGAACTCAGCATGGTTTGTGAGGCGGGGCAGTGTGAGGAGCAGACACAGTTTGCTGTAGTCATCTTTAGTGGGACAGAACTCTTCCAGGGCGTGGAGGCACTTCACTGCTTCCTGCATGGTGAACTCCAACTAAAGAAAACACAAAAGGCATTTCAGGTTGTCACAAAGGACTGAGTAGAAGCTTCTCTCTGAACAGCATGAAAAATAAGGTAAATGTTGAGCATTATTCAGTAACACAATTTCGATTTCTGTGCATCTTTAAACTAGCCTAGCAATATGAGTTGAGTTGGTTAAAAAAAAAAGTGGAACATCACAGGTGAACTGTACTATGGGAAATGTTCTGTTAAAAGGGTTATTCTAACACAGACAGTCGATCACAGTATCAGAAGCCCACATAAACAGCTTAATCCTGATAAATCCTCCACTGCAGTGAGGCCAATAGACACGTCACTCCTTGCATGCAAATGCAGCCACTGCTGAGTTTACACAAACACAAAACCTTCTCCTCTCTCTCAAAGACGGGGAGATTTGTTCAGATGACTTGCAGAGCTGCAGTTAAACGATATATTCTGAGCAACACTGTTTGCTTCTCTTCTTATCTTTGAGATTGAGCCTTCGTGTTTACTGCCATGACAACCAGTCAGTGGGAAGACAAAGCAGCGCTGTAACAACTGCTATTTAACAAGATGGAAATACAAGGCTGTGTTACTGGTGAAGTTTAGTGACTTACATGCTGAGGCTCATCTTCTGCAGACATGGCGTTATTCACACACAGAGCCTCCAGAAACTTCTGCTTGAGGATGATGTAACGAAACCTGCAGACATGACAGTTGACATTGAGTTGATGCTGTTTGTGTCTAGCTTTGCTTCTGTAGTCCATCTCAGAATCAACAAAGGATACATGAACATACTGAAAGTGACTCACACAGTGAACGCACCTTTTTTTGTCAAACTTATCCATGCCCTCCAAAGGCTGAATGAACTGCAAGACCTCATCCCACTGGCCGTCAAGCACCAGTTGCCTGGAAATAAAATAAACAGTTAATTTTAATAAACGGGTATTAAGTGAAATTAGGTCCTTGTATTGTGTCCCACAAAATTGTAACTTCAATTATTTATATAATTTAAAATTGAAGAGCAATGCATTTTTAGAATCTCTGACAACCTGATAGCTCTGGTATTTTCCTAATAAGGATCCATGACAAGGTGAGACACACTATTAATCAATACTTCACACTAGAAGGTGAAAAACCAAGATGTATTTAATACTCAAAGATGAGTAGAGTTTCAGGCAACACACTGTTGGCTGACTTTCAGGAGAGCACTCACGACCACAGCAGCTGAGCAGTGTTACATTATCCTAATACAGAGGACACTATCAGATACACTAAACTTTATGACTGGAACAGTTGCCTGTTGTTTCTGCTTCATAGTAGGCAGCTTTTTTGGGGTTCATGTATCCAGACGGCTTGGTGTAGATGTTGATGTTGAGTTCTTGTACCTGAGGAAGAGCATGTCGTCTGAGTAGAGCCCGTTGATGACGCCGCTCTCCTTCTCCAGAGCCAGCATGCTGATGTGTAACTTCCTGGAGTGGAGAAAGTCCAGGATCGCCTTGATGATCTCCACCTCCTTCACATTTATGGTTTCCTCCGCTGTCATGGTGACGACTACCAATGACAAGGGCAATAAAGCAAAATGCTCGTAAGGTAAAACCACACACACACACACAGCAAAAGAAAACCCGAACACAACAGTTTGTACAGTACATTTGAACATGTCTTAAAGTAACGCATACATGTATGACACAGTTCAATGCTTTACAGTTAACATTAGTTTGATTCCTCTTAAGTTATTATGCCGCATCTAGACAAACATTAATATAAGAAAATATCCTTATTACTGTGCTAATGATTTTAGCCATATTGAAGACAGCATCTAAAATGCAGGTGTTTTAGTGGAGTTGTTCAATGGCAACCAGATGATTAGACTGGAAAGCTACTAAATAATTATAAATATGTGTTTATGTGTAAATACACAATACATATGTGTGGATTCGAACTGTATGCATCGGAGATTTAAAGTGCCTCACTTTGCATGTTACATTTAATCTAAGATTAAATAAACTCAATGTATGAACCTAATATGCAAAGTCACAAATCTGACATTACCTCTCCTCAGAAGAGTTTAACAACCTGACAGGAGTCTGTTTTGATTTTATACACAAACACATGAATGCATATTAACTCTATCTTTAGGCCACCAACTAAATTAGTGTTGTCCAGATGGACTGAAGCCTCTGCTAGGATATGTTAATGTTCTTCAGTATTTGATTTGACAACTTATGACAGCATCATACAACTTTATAATACAGTACAATTTATGTTATTAAGAGTGCAGCTTTTCTGTTATCAGATAATCATGTCATAATTAGGACAGTCTGCCATATATTAGTCACATTCATCCTGATATTCTGCCCATAAGTCAACAGATGTTGGTGAAACAAGACAGAAACAGCTGTATGTAACTGAGCTTAACTCCTCCACATGTTGTGTTTACAGAGGAGAGAATTATCTTATCATATTTTTTCAAGACAGGAAGTATCCTCTAATTCATCTATATATGTATATATAAAAAATCAACACTTAAAAGAAAGCCATTTTGCCTAGCTTACTAGTAATCAAAGAGCAAAACACTGCAGTGCTGCTAAGCTAGCATGAGGGATGGTTAGCTAATAACACTGGGGCTTTAAGCCTCAAGTCAAACATTATAAGAAGCTTAGGCTACTTGTTAGCGCTACATAACCTCTGAGTTAACACACCGGATTATGGCGAAACCAAAATCAGCTAGTTACCGTCAGAGCTCACATAAAGCAGGCTAATTTAGCTGGTAGTTAGAGGGGAGCAGATGAGCTAGGCAGGCCGAGGAGAGAGAGGGATCCTCGGCTAGTTAGCAGGGCGGTGCGCACTGACAGCCGAGAACAACACAACCCGCTGCGCTTGATGCTCACCTGTTTCTAACAATGCATGGGATGGAAAAACAGTGCCCCGGGTGTTTCCGTGATGTTGACAGACGCTGTCACCGAGAGTACCGCTCGGTATTTTTACTGCTGTCTGTGTTGCCCCGGCTGTCCCTCCTCCTTGTCTGGCGGTGTCTCCTCCCTGCTGGGTCTCTCTCTCTCTCTCTCTCTCTGCCCAGCCCTTCTGCTGCTGCTGCCGTCTGCAGAACACCGCCTCCCACAGCCTGACTCTCTCCCCTCGGGAATACAACATGATAGAAACTCATTCAATACATAACCAGTGGTGTAAAGTAACTTAGTACATTTACTCAAGCACTGTAATTTTTAGTACCATTTTGCAGGTACTTGTTCTTTACATCAATATGTCAATGTTGTGCTAGTTGTTACTTCTATCACAATACAATTCAGAAGTAAATACTAGTGTACTCCACTACATTTATTTAGTAGCTTTAGTTACTTGGCAAATTTTGATTAATCATGTGAAATGTAAACAACACTTAAATAAGACTTTAGTTACACAATTAGCTACCCTGCCTGCACCATACAAAGTCATTAAAACTGAACTTAACAAAGTCATTAAAACTGAATTTAACATGCTCTACCTTCACCACACTTTAATGCATCAATAATACATTATTCTGAATTGGGCCACTCTGCATGATGAGTACTTTTATTTTTGGAAGTATATTTTGATGCTAATATTTTTCAACTTTGACTTGAGTAACAGGACTTTTAAAAGTCACTGCGGTAGTTCTTTGTTTGTTCTTGGTTTGTACTTTTATTAAAGTACTTATTCCACCTCTGGTACTCACTGACGTCACTGATCCCTAAATAATCTTATACAGTATATGCAGTCTATGGATATGCTCCTCTAACAGCCCAACGACAAATTGTCCCTTTCTCTATAGGGCAGCTGTGGCTTAGGGGTAAATGGATGTAAAGGGACAGTCCCTAGAAAATGGGCTGGCTGGCATAGGGCCTGGGAGCATCACGGCGAAGGTGGTCGAAGGTCAAACCACTGGGGGCTTGGGCAAGATTTTGGTAGCACTACAGTGCACAATAGTTAATCATTGAGTATTCTACCAAATAAATATTTACCAAAATTATGCAAACATATTTATTTCATAACTTGTTCATGTAATAAACCAACAGACCATTAATATGTGAAGAGATGTTAGTCCTTCACTTTATTACAGTGGAGTTACTGAATATTTTACACAAATTATGCAAAATCATATTTCTTTAACCAAGTGTTGTATTATAACCAGTAGTATTTCCCAAAACATTTCAGGCATTTCTCTGTGTTAATTATCAACTGAGGTGGATGCCAATGACAGAAGCTTTTATAGGCTGGTTCTATATGGGTACCGCTGATTTATTTATCTAAAAGAATAGTGAGGATATGGCTGATAAAGTGCAGACAGGCTAACATGTATAGTATGCAATATCTGACACAGTAAAGCTTCTGTAAAAAAGCTTCACTACTACAGATAATGGCTATGATGATAATGAAGACAAAGCATGTGTTGCATAGCAAATGTTTGTTAAATAAAATTGCCTTGCCTTGCCTTAATTGTCTTGGCCTGTGATGCCCTGTGATTGTGCAGCCCAAACAAGAAGGTTATCAGGTGTATGATAATAACCTTAGTTATTTACTCACTTCTTTGCATAGTAAAGAACAAGTGGTAGAGAAATGTTGTGTTGGATAAGTCTGTGTACCTTTGCTTCAAATGTTTTTCTTTCTTAAACAAGCAAACAGTGGTGCAGTTTTTGCTTTTGTTATTTTCCACAGGGCTCGGGAATCGAACCCACATAGACATTAAGTGAGGCGGCCAGTTCTAACTGCTATCTGCTAATCCAGCAGCCTGCTCAATATTGCATTGATTTGGACCAAGTCGATCAAATGGAAAAAAATATATATTATAATAATTTTAAAAAATGTATCTGGAAGGTTGTCCAGCGTGGCAGCTCCATTAGATTGGTGTTGCTTTTCTGTTCACTGGTTTAAGAAAGAAGAACAATTTAAACGAAGGCACACGGAATTAGAGAGCAAGTTGTTCGGCAAGACTTTTAGTTAATAAATAAGACACCAAGGGTTACTGTTGATAGCTGGCATTTTAATTAAGCTCAAAGTAATAGAAAAACAATGAAAATCCATGAACACTTGAGCGTATTTAGTAAATTGCAAGAAAAAATGAATTCAGAGTTGGAAAAAAATACTATGTTTTTCTTAGTATACTTAATGGATTTGCATACAATACCACAATAAAGAGTCGTTTAGACTTTATATACACCATGCCTTTGCTTTTAACTCGCATCCTTCAACAACTGTACTGGTTCATTAGTACAAACCTCCAACACGTCAATGTCATTACAAAAAATATTTCTATATGCCAAAATATATATATGTACAGTGTCAACACATACTGAAGTAACCTGTGATTTAAAAAAGTAACAGTAATAAAAGTGAAGCAACAAGCATGAAGGTCCTGAAGGTCCTGAAGCAAAAGCGCCTCAACGACAGTGGACAGGATCTGAAGTGCTATCATAGGTATCATAATTCATTTATTTACAATTGTGGACTACTTTAAGGGTAATCATGATCTAATAATTACATCAATGTCCACAATAAAGTGTATTTTTCAGTATTTGTTAGTTCCAACTGCAACATGATCAAATGGTGATAATTTAAATAACTCTTAAATTGCACAGACTGCTGACACAGAGTGGGAATTCAGTCTATTCTTCTACTAATGATAGTCCTATTAGTGATAACGGTGAGTGATCACACTTTTTGCATTTGTAGCACAATTAAAGGCCACAAACGACAACACATGGACACACACACGTGATACATTAAAAAAGCTACTGAAAAGCTGCAAGTGGAGTTTTGAATGGATCTTCCATGATATACAAACTAATTGACCTTTTATGTGTACTGTAAATTATGTTTCTCTGAATAAAATCTAAGTCGCTTTTAAAAATGTCTTCAAAGCATTATCAAAATGAAATAAATTAAGAGTATATTGCAAGTGCTTTCCAGAATTGTTTCATGGTACTCCATGTACTCAATACTCTTTTGGAAAGTCATTGCAATCACCAACTGAGGGTTTTTTCACACTCGTCTTGGCACTTCACTGTACACACACTTACACAAGCTGTTTATACCATTTTCAGTCACATGTAAAAAAAGAAAAAACGCGCCTTAATAGCAGCGAAACTCTCATCAAAAATACCTCCTCTATCTGATCACAGATCAGGCAGACCACCCTTTTGAGGGGGGCATCATCTGATCCCAGACCTGTGAGTACACACAACCTCTTTAAACAGGTGCTGACAAATGACAACAACACTCACAGCGCATCCATTTGACACAAATCAAGCATAAGGCCACACAACTTATAGAAACCAAACTGCCTCTTTCTGAGGCGTGACATTCAGTGCTTCAGTGGTTCAACTAGGTAAGGCATTGGTCCGCCTATGATTTTCTTCTCTTTTTTTGGCACATGGGAACATTAATACACATGCTGACGAGTACACTTGTGCCCCATAAAGGTAGTCCAGAGCATAATAACCAACTCTGAAACAACAACGTCTGTGAGGCCCACTCGTGTTCTACATTCCAGTTGTGATTTGTGACAGTGGGGATTGTGAGTCCTTTTAATGAAAAAGCTAAATCCACAAATTCCAGAGAAGCTTGTCCAAATATTGCCCGGCCATCTGGCGCTACTTAGTGTGTAGTTTTTTGGGCGTCCCCTGCTTCTTGGTTTGCCACAGATGGCTGGCGATAGTGATGGCGTCCACACTGGCGGACATGGTTTTGGCTGGGATCTGACTGAACTGCTTCCTGTCTGAGTTGTACTTGTACAGGCCCTCAATCATCTTGGTCGTGATGCTCCTCGGCCCGATGCCGGCCAGTTTGGTGATCTCCTCTGTCTCGGGGCAGTAGGCGTACACAGACCTGAACTGGCAACCCGCGTCACGGAACAACACCAGGAAGTTATTGGCTTCAGATTTCTCCATTTCCTGTAAAAAAACACGGGAAAATATGGTGTTTAGTGCAGAATATGTTATGCAGACAGAGAAATAGTTACATATAATAAAAACATACATCAAGAATCTTGTTCTTCTGCCCTTCGTTGACCTTGCCAGCCAGGCAGCAGTGAGCCAGGGCATTCTGGATGATGTGCTTGTTAGACTTGGCACTCGGCTCCTTGTATAGTTTGGGTCCTGTGAGAAGAATGCACATTTAGATGGTTTGACATTTAGAGCAATTGTGTTAATGTTAGAAAAATGGTGTACAGGTATGTCTTCTACCTGTGTACTCATTGTTGGAGGGATTGGAAGAGGTGGTGGAGTCATCTTCCCAATCCTTCTCTCCGTTACGACTAATAGTCGAAGGACAAGAAGAAAGGCCTTCTGCAGAGTCCGGCCTGTAGATAATCACGTACAAACAAATGACACACACAGACGTAAAAAAAAAAAAAAAAAACCCACAGTCAACACGTAGAGGGTGATGCAAAAAAGCAGGAATGGAACAATCCGGCGAAAAATTGCACAAACAGACATGCACACACACATTAAACACACACACACACACACACACATTAAACACACACAGACATTAAACACACACAGACAGAAAGAGATGTTGTAAAACAAGGTCAGACACTGTGACACAATTTTTCAAACCCTGTCTGTTGTCTTGCATTACATCATACTGTTCATACTCAGAGGAAGCTGTGCAGCAAAGGGACAGAGAGGCATGTTCAGCCAAGCAAAGCAAATCTCAGTGCTGTCTTTACGGCTACTGTGTGGGATGAGCTCGAGTTCTCGTGGAGGAAACGGTAAACACAGTGGTGAAGTGCAGAGCAGCCAACATAGAGAAGAGAGCAAACAACAGCCTGAGAGCAATACTGCAAAAGGCAGAAAGGATAAGGAGCAGGAGAGCTGAAGCGGAAACAGTGTAGCCACGCGAGTCTCATGAACTTTAATGCAGAAGAAAATACTGCAGAAATGGAATATGTCAAATTATTTCTCTCTCGAGACTGCCCCTCTAATGTCTGCGTTGAAGGAATGTCTCATGAAATGCAGGCGGAAGTTATGTGGAGATTGGTCTATATGGAGCCACATCGAGTACACATTACTAACCTTCCCTTTCTTTCTTTGGGAGAGTTTAGAAAGAACGGGATATGGGATACTTTTTTGCCTCTGAGGGACGCATGCAAACAGAGAAAATAAGAAAGGGAAGAGAATCGAGAAAGTAAGCCTCATAAAAGTCAAGAGTTAAGAAGAAGGAAAACAACATAACCCCATGAAATGAGTCTATAGTAAAGTATAGGATATCAGGGTGTGACACAAAGGGGAATATAAGGTGTGAGTTGTGAAGTTTAGTTTTGGAAAGGTTCAAATGAAATATAAAAGTAATCCTGAAAACGTTTTTTATAATCTTTATAAAAATACATAAAAGTGTGATATTGTGCAGAAAGTAGGTGATATTTAGTTAAACCCTTTGAGCATAATGTTAAAGACCATAAGATACAACCCACCACAATGTTAAAAGTGTGCAAAGCAGCACACTGTGCAGGAAAACACTTCTAGGTTGTTTTAACTGGGTTATAAAGAGTTATATAAAGTCACAGAGCATTGCGTCTGTGCTCCAGGCAGAGAATGGGCCTTACCTGTTATTCTTTTTGTTATTTGGCAGATCCTTGTCATTGTCAGCCAGATTGAGAGATGCCAAAGAAACACTTGATACTGAGAATCCTCGAGGACGCACCCCTGCAACACAAGCACAGGTCAGTCAGTGGCTGTCACCCAGAGATACTGTATGTGTGTGTTTATATGAAATGTGTTTATGGCATTCACCTGTCGCTCTCACGGGGGGCGCAGACTCCACGACGTCCCTGTGGATGGACTTGGGTCTCGGCTTCTTCTTGAGACTTCCTGTTCGAGGCTTGATGACGTCGTCCATGTCCTCCATCAGCTTGAGTTGCTTCCTCCTCAAGTATTCATATTTGATGTATTCCTTCCTCGCCTTATCGTCATCCTTCTTCAGCTGGTCCTCCTCTGCTTTCAACCTGCGGGAGGAGACCAGGATGATGAATCCACACTCAAGTTTAAGATAAATGTTGTCGGTATTCATGCTATAGATCATGGAACACTGTTAGCATTGGCTAATATATGAGGAGTAAGAAAGTGTGACAAACCGTGCAGCTTCCCTCTTCTGCTCCTGGCCCAGCTCCTGCTCCTGCTTCTTCTCCTGAGTCTCCTTCTCCCTCCTCAGCCTCTTCTCCAGCAGAGCTGCTTTCTTTGCTGCCATGTCTTCTTCCCCTTTCACATCATCCTGGTGTTTAATGGGTGAAGAAAAAAAATACACATGTCAGATTGTACATAGACATATTTACACTGCAACATTATAGCTTTCATGACAGTAATTATGACAAATAGCACTATACTGTGTATTTATTGGAGTTAGGGCGGTATTTGGTATTTAATATGGCAGTAATCTAAGTGACAATGCTTTGACATTGCTCTGTAATCATAGCTCTAATGGTCTACCATGCATCTGTCATTGCTGCGTTGTGTGGCCTAGATTCACTCATGTGTGTCTTTGATCAGCACATGGCTCAACAGGCACAACGCTGCACATGTTCCCAGCTCACATAGTAAGAGATTCTTCCTGTCCCTGCTGCATGCATATAGCCCCACGAGGCCGTATGCACTGAGGCTTATTAACTGTGATTATCAGTTAATATAAGTGAAACATTGGTGCTCTGATGCTGACACGTCTGGAAGGATTTAGGCTGGCAGGTTAGCTAAGAGGGAACCAATTTTAAAGGTGACCTATCACGCAAAATGCACTTTTGTACGTCTTTTATACATGAATATGTGTCCCCGGTGTTCCAGGGAACTCACAAAAGTGCATTTTGCGTGATAGGTCACCTTTAAAATTGGTTCCCTCTTAGNGGATTACAAGTAGGCAAAAATGAGTCATGCAAAGAAAAGTTGAATAAAGAAAGTGAGCAGACTCGGTTGGGCTTATTGCTGTGTGGATGTATGAACTGGGAGAAATCATTTTGCTACAGTGAATATTGCTTTACAGGCATATTAGAATGAATTTGACAGGCTGTGTGTGTGTGTGTGCTTCTCTAGTACATACGCTGCAAGCCAAATTACCCCCCCTCACCCCCCCTCAGACAGAGGACAGATTCTGCTCAGACGAGATTCACAGTCCTGACCCGTCTCCAACTGCCTCCCTTGTTCTCTCCTCCTCTGTTTTTATCAGACAACAAAATCTGTGATCCTCAGAGATCACAAAAGTGTATTTGTCTTACTCAGTCCTCAGGCTGAGATCTCCCAATGTTACACACATTAGTTTCTAAATTAATAAAATACTGACTGTACCACTTTAAAAGCATCTCTGTGCCGTCGGAACGTTGGAAGGAGCAGAGCCAGTGTGGGTAAATAGTATGCGGGGAGCGTGGGTAGAACAATTTGAATTCAAGTCACGGTCCGAGCTGACTGGGACTTTCCATTCTTCAAAACACAGTAGCCAGTTTTCACACTTGTGCTCTGCTTTCTCTGTATTTCCCCTTCCTTCTCATTCATTACATTGTTTATATTTAGTTTGTGGTGTTACAATTGAAAAAGTAGAAAAGGAGGGAAGAGAGGGACACAAATGGTTGTGAAGAGCAGTAAAGAGACACCCTGTATCTTAACCAGGCCGTGTGTGCATGTCCATGTTTTTGATATGAAAAACAGAAGTGATGTTGTTTTAACCATTAGGCAGCTCTCTCTGGTGCCCGAAAACAGAGACCCAATCTTTTTTTGTCTTTATATTCCTTCTAGAAAGTAAATAAGCAGATCTTTGTACGTCTACCTAAATGTTTCCTACATAGGAAATAGTCTTTATAGGGGTCTAGAGACGTTCTGTTTATAACATGCATTTATCATAGATTCGGGTTACTCACTCGCTGCTCTGTGCATCCATCTCTGCATATGTGACATATTTAAACTAAACCCCAGATGGTGTTTTTGGCCGCTTTCATGAAGCGTATGTGTTTGACATTAAACCACTCAATGAAACATGTACTGTACTCATTTAACTAAACACACCCACACCTGAGCCTGTTACCAAGCAACAGTTTGCAGGCCATGACCTCCTTGAGCTGTCAAAAAGCTGTATGATCCTACGATTGTTGCTCATTGAACATCTTAACAGAGACACTGAGAGAAGGAGTGTGACAGATGTGCTAATGGAATGATTAAATAACTACATATACAACCATATGACTGCAGCATTAACCTCAAAGGTGTGTGTGTGTGTGTGTGTGTGTGTGTGTGTGTGTGTGTGTGTGTGTGTGTGTGTGTGTGTGTGTGTGTGTGTGTGTGTGTGTGTGTGTGTGTGTGTGTTGCAGAGTAACTACCTGGTGTTTATGGCTGAGCTTTTCTGGTGGTTTGAAGTGGTAAAACCCTCATTTGTACAGCCCAGAGTCTTCGATCCAAACGGTACTGTGCAAGTTAATGATCAAATCAGCATGCTTTGTTAACAGCAATGATTATGACAGTTATGCATGCTAAACTATTAATAATAATGAACTCAAGGCTGCAGAAAAATATAGATTTTCTGTCGTATGTTTCTCTCTGCAGCCTGTGAGCCTGTGTCCTCCTGTAGAAATATGGCTCCTGTGTCCAGTCCTGTCAAACAGAGCTATGCAGACAGACCTGACAGCCCAGAGAACATCCCTTCACAGGGTAACATATCTCATATCTAAAGGGGAATGGCAAAACTATTTCTTATGTGATCATGTGGGAATAGATGTCACAATGATATATAGTGTGGATTCGTCAACACTGCTTTTTTTAACACAACTTTCTGAAAAAACAGTTATATCTTCACTTCAATGAGGCCATCCATACAAACTTGTGTTAAAAGAAGACATAGTTGGTATTATAGCAGGAACATGCATTACTTCAGAACAGTGGAAAAATGTGTTGTTGTGTTTTTTAAATCAGAGGCCCCCTAGTGGCTGATTTATAGACATGCACTAGCTCGTATGCTACGTTTGAGCCTTACACTTTTCTTTACATTTTAACAATACAGTATTTTGCCTACGTATTTAATCTTCATTCTCCCTGAAGCTAAAGCACTCCACTGCAGCATTTGTTGTTCTCTTGTGATATAATGGATTTCACACATCCATTAAGAAGCCCCTCTGTGTCTGTAACAGGTATAATGAAGAGGTCTACCTCCATGTCCTACGTGGATGGCTGTGTTGGGACATGGCCCAAAGAACATCGGTTAGTACTCAAACTCCAACTAGAGCAGATCAAATGAGATACAAATGTGAAAAGGTCTGTTGTTTCCTTATTAAACTTATTAATAAGCTTATTAAACTCACAACACATTTCCTTCCTCCACCAGCTCCTCCTCTCGGGGAATCTCCTTTGAGATTCCTCTGGACGGAGAACCCACTCTGCCGTCCGGCGGCATGACCCGCTCTGCCAGCAGTGACGGCCTGGGGTTCAAAGTTCACTATGCATCTCGAGGGAGCATGAAACGCCACCTCTCCCTCATGCCTGTTGATGTAAATGGACAGAGCAGACACATACCAGAGGAGGATGATGAGTTCACTTCCCAGAAATCCCTGGAGCGGAGCAATACGTTCTCCATCAAGAACCAAAGCAGGTACAGCAAAGGGAGGATGTTTCCTCTCCTGTATTTAAGGTTTTATCCATGCAAGCACGTGCTGCACCAGCAAGAGGCAGTACACATTAGCTGCCTGTTCACTCTAAGATGCTTTTTGGTGCTGCTCCTCAACTTTTAATAGTTTCATGTGTATGTAAACTTTATAGTATAGATAAGCACAGAATAATGAAGCTTCACACAACTTTTAGATTTAAGTTGTTCTTAACAGTTCAAAACATTTGAAAATACTATGATATGTTATTGTTTTTTTTTACACACATTAACACTCCTACTGTAAATACCCATATACATTTGTTTTCAGCAAAAATGTGTTTGGGTTAAGTCACTCTTAAAGGGCTTAACTTAAAAAGTGTGTATTTTTTTTTTTTACGAATGTTGAAACTGCACGGAGAGTCATAAAGATAAGAAGAACACCCAGCTGTTTATCACTCTGGGTAACTAGAACAATTAGTCAACGTGTGTCACTGTTATCCAAGAGTTAACTTACCCAAACCTGTCTCCAGGTGCTCCAATGGAGTCCTCCCTGAAAGCAACCATAGCCACAACGATCACCATGGCAACCACAGTGGCCACATCAGCCCATCCTCCCCCCCGAGCATCGAGGAGGCGCTGAAGATTATCCACGACACGGAGAGGCCTCACGCCTGCCTCGGGTCGGGGGACGGAGACGATGGCTTCTTCCTCCATGGTGCGGAGCCGTCAGACCCTCCGGGGGCTCACGGTCCAGGAGACGACCTGGGACCAGCTAAGGCTCGGCCAAACGACCACGACCCCAACTCCCTGTCCACCGATGAAGTGGACACGGGCATCCACGTGAGGACAGAGGACATCCAGAGCTTGGATGAGGACTCCTCCTCTCTGAGAGACTACTCAGATATTGACCAAGACTGTGAGGCCATGACCCGGTCCTGTCCGCTGCCTGACCAGCCGGAGAGGGAGAGGGAGAGGAGCCGGCCCGGAGGAGGGGAGGGGGTCGGTCAGGCTAACCCCGAGGGTGGGAGGGGGGACGGTGGGGACAGCCCCTGTCCCAGTACAACACCCACCATCCACAGATCCCACACACTGAGCCCCGCCTCGTCCTGCGGAGGCTCTGGGGCCATGGTCCGTATGACGAGCTTTGCAGAGCAGAAGTTCAGGAAGCTGGAGGGAAGGAGCAGCGGAGGAACAACCCCAGAGAGTTCAGACCTCAACGTGCCGTACACACACCCGCCAAAAAGCCTTTCTGCTCCGGTTAGTGTCCTTTTGTGTTGCTCAATCCCTCTTTCATAAAAACTCTAATTTTGTTGCAGGGGCAGAAATGCAATTTGTAGTGAGATGTGTTTTTCTTTTCACTATTTTCTAGATATCTACACCTCCTTTGCCAATCACATCTCCCTCTCCAGCAACGCCTTCCCCCAGAGACCCCTCCCACCTGATAGCCACAGAGATGATTCAGCTGAGGATGAAGCTGGAGGAGAAACGTAGAGCCATTGAAGCCCAGAAGCAGAAGGTAAACAGATACAGGGAAAGGTGGGATAACAGTAGTAACGTTATACATGAATGATCATATTATTATGCTCTTTCACAGGTGGAAGCAGCGTTCACCCGCCATCGCCAGAAGATGGGCAGAACAGCCTTTTTGAATGTAGTAAGAAGAAAAGGGATCACTGCCCCCCTCAGCTCAGCGGCAGCAGAAGCCCCTTCCTCAGAGCCACTATCAGCCTCAAAGGAAACCAGGCAGGGCAGCATGGAGGGGGCGGAGAGATGCAAGCCAGATGGAGCAGCGCCTAGATCCCCCTGTGAGGATGGAGCAGGTGAGTAACCAAAGAAAGTATGCTCTCATAAATGTAGTAAAAGGCTTTAACACCAGCTCAAATGAACTGAATCATTATTTGGTGATACAGGAATGTCTCCAGGAGAAATCGACCTTACGGAATACACGCGCTCCATCGATAGGCTGAACACGTCGCTGGGCTTCCTGCAGACAGAGATGCAGCGCCTGGCCCAGCAGCAGGAGAGGATCATGTCCATGAGAGAGCAACAGCAGCAATCCTGGGTCATCCCTCCTCCTGCTCCATCTCCACACAGGTATCACTTTTGCTAAATCTACTGTTTTTTTTTACATAATTCTGTAAACTCATATATGACCGGGTGTGTTTTCTTCCCCCGCAGGCAGCTCCGTGAGTTGCGCAGCAGCAGTGTTACAGGCCGGGGGTCAGGTCGAGGCTCGGTTGGGTCTTTGTCCCCCATCCTCTCTTCTTCAGGCTCTCCCCACGCTCCCAACCGTTCCCCTGCTGGCCTAAAGCGGCGGCCGGCCTCCTTCCACGCCAGGACAACTCGGACTCCACGGCCAAACGATCTGAAGGTCACGCCCTTCAGTCGAATGCTCAACACCCAGACCTCAGTGGACAGCCTACCCAGACTGAGGCGCTTCAACCCCAGCCAGAACCAGAACAGCTCGTTTGCTTACCTGGGCCACGATGAGGGGCCTCCTAAAAATAGGGACCAAGAGGCCAGGGACAACAACGAAAGCACTAAGGACAAAGAAGAGGATGTGGAAAGGAAGAGTGCTGGCACTCCTCAAGCTACTAATATTGAAGCAGCCAAAGAGAGGGGAAATGAGGGGGAAAGAAAGACTCTTTTTAAGCCATATGGCTCCTCAGAGGTGGTGAAGGAGCCTCCATCTGACCTGAGACAAGCAGGAAGACCTCCCCTCGGTCAGGAGATGGCGGGAGAGGGTGAAGGAGAGGGAGAGGCAGGAGCAGGAGCAGACATGTATGGAGAAGACCAAAAGATATGCTGTGGATTCTTCTTCAAGGTGAGCTGGAGCTACATAATTATATTTAAGAGGATAATTGTTATAGTTTTATGATAATGGTTGGAAACTAGATGTGGCAGAATTGGACGCAGGTTTAGCCATTAGCTTTAACCAAAATTAAACTAACACTACTTGATTTGGTTGCCGTTCTCACATTGTGATACCTGTATGCTGCCTTTAAGCCCGCGTCACACTGTCCCGAAATGTACACCCGATGGACACACGAATATGGATTTGTGAATTTCGCACGAAGATGGCCCCGAACCACACACAAAGGCAACATTTACATTACACTTAAGACATACAACTGCAACGAAAGTAACAAAAACAATTATGTTAAAGTACTATGATACTGTACTGATATTTTCAGACTTTGTTCTTTACTTTATCCGTTTTTATATGTAGAAGATATTAAGTTTTCTCCGTAGTGTTGTTTCCATAGCAAAAACAACTTCCTGTCAACTCGCCTTCAAAATAATATATTATATCCTTTTCAGTTTCACAGAACACAAATTGGGTTATTTACATAATATGTTTACATGATTTGTTGTGCAATAAAACAACCCGATGGACACACGATAAAGGAAATGTTCAAATTCGGCTCTGATCGTAGCAACATCGGGCCATTCGTGAGGGCATCTTAAACCATCGTATGACCGCCTGTGGAGTTTCTCAGGCTTCGGCAGCAACTTCGTGAGCGGTGGCAAAATCTTTGGCATGCCAAAAAATTGCCGAAGGACCTTGCGAAGGTTCATTTTCGTGTTGAATTCGTGTGTCAATTTTTGCCCTTCGTAAGGCCATCGTTAGGGCATCTTGTTATCATCGGTGCCATCGGGCATTCGCCCCGATCAAAGTGAGGGCGAATGCACCGATGATAACACGAAGATGACACGACTTGACAAGATGCCCTCACGAGTGCCTTACGAAGCTGCTGCTCACGAAGTTGCTGCCGGAGCCTGAGAAACTCCACCGGCGGTCAT